CTATGGAGAGTGTTCAAGAGAAGTGGCAATGAAATTGATTTTAAAGTTCACAGAAATTTTTGGAACAAGTCGTCTACTATAATTAAAAACTCCCGCGCTGTGTATGAAAAGCGTATCGCTGATCAACCAGACGTTAAGAGCTTTTACAAACAAGTCCGCAACAAATTTTCTGGACCTGTTATTACCCCGTAGTTGAAGGACGACAATGGTCGGATCATTGACAATTCTGCTACAGTTGCAGACATCTTTGGTATAAACTTTCCTCAGGTTTTCACTGTTGATTTGAACCAAACTTTACCGAGTTTGATCGGTCCTAGTCACAATGTGTGCCTTGGCAGTGTTGAGTTTCCAGATATTATAGTGCGTGCAAAACTGGGTGAATTAAAACTTTATAAATCACCTAGGTCTGACAATATTGGTGCATCTATCCTGCAAAATTGTGCTGATTCCCTTTCTTAACCCTTAAGTCTTGATGACGCAGTCCTTTTCTTCTGGTATTTTGCCAGACGACTGAAAAATTGCCACAGTATGGCCTATTTTTAAAAAACGCGACAAGTTTGATCCGATTAACTATCTATCGTCCAATTAGTTTAACATCGCTGATTATTAAAATAATGGAATATTTAATTTACGATCGCTTAATACAATTTATTTCAGACCAGCCACTTATTCCTTCAGGGCAGAAAAATCCACCATCTCTAATCTTCTGTGCTGTCTTCTGACTGGACAAGAAAATTTGATTTGGGTAATTCAGTAGACGTCGTCTATCTGGATTTTTTTAGGGCGTCTGAAACGTAGGTTTAAAGTTAAAGTTGGTGTGCAAGTTTTGAGTGGGGTGCCGCAGGGGTCCGTCTTCGGACCACTGCTGTTTATATATATCGCGCTAGATGCTTGTGATCTCAACATCTTCTCGTTAATAAACTTATGTTTAACTCACTTATTGTATAATATTTTTTAGAAAATACATAAGGATTCAGTTCCAAGTATGACTGGCTTACAAATTATGCTGTTAGCCCATAAAATTTTACTACTGGTCCAAAATACTGTGCAGCGAAAGTTTTCAAAATTTGTTAAGTCAGTAACATTGATATGATGATTATAAAACTATAATTCAAAGTTATTTATTACCTTCGGAAACCAATTTTGAATCTATGTGGAAATGACTTCAATGTTGCTACTACGTTATCATCGAAACCGCATATTGGATTAAATATTAATTAAAGATTAAATTACATAACAAAAATATATAGTTTTGCCAAAATTAAAAAACGACCACGTGTTGATTTCATTTGCTAACAAAAAAAAAACTCCAGTGGTGATTTTCATATTATACCGTTGAAGCAAAGTTGTCATCACAAAACACGCAAGCACAAAAATAAACCACAAGTGCAAGAGCATGTTATTTTATAAAATTTATGTAACACTAGCTGACCCCGTGAACTTCGTTTCACCTACAATTTAATTTTGAATCTGCAAAACCGAATGCTTTGAAATCTTGCAGATGTTTTAAACATATGATAAGCATAATAAATTTGTATTCAAAATATGTTTACTTATCCCCTCCAAAAAATTGATGACGTCAGCCCAAAATTTTGCCAAATGAATCCTCTCTAAAATGTCCAAGATAGGATGAGACTATACTTGTGATTTATCATTCCATTCATAATTTTTGGTTTTGCTTATAGGGGGTGTCTCAAAAAAATTAATCACTGAGTCAATTTATTTTATTGATTGAATCAAGAATTGCAAAACTGAATTATGAAATATTGCAGACGTTTTAAAGTTACTGTTTGACATGCCCAAAAACTTGATGACGTCATCTCAAGATTTTGCCGAACAAATCCTGTCTAAAATGTACAAAACATCATCAGTATATTTTCGTAATTTATCATAGCATTCATATTTTTTAGATTTGTTTTTACAGTGACTCCAAAAAATGTATGGATCAGTCAATTTATTTTAGAGAATAACTCAAGAGTTGAAGAAATAACTTCTTTGAGATCTTGCAGACGTTTTAAAGTTATTGTAAGCATGGTAAATTGTTAAGAATATTTACTTATTCCCCCGAAAAAATTGATGGAACGGCCCACTCGATTTTTGCAGATAATTTTGGGAATACAATACAGTTATTTTTAGTATTACACTGCACCAATCCAAGGTGGTATACGTGTTGATCGTAAATGTTGATTAGGTCATCACAAAATTGTGTGAAGAAAAGACTCAACTCGAAAATGCTGAATATGTTTCATTATACTTTTGGTGCGAAGGAAGTTCTGTCGAAACAACGTTCGATCAAATTTTTGACAATGGTTGATATAAATAAAACTCAGTAGATGCTCATACTCGAAATACGAAGTATCTACTCGAATATCAAATCAAAATATTTCTAGTTTTTCTAGATGATGCTAATACTTCAGTAGGTAACAGTTGATGCTCAAGTAGTATCTCGATACAACAAAAACGGAAAACAGTGACAGTGTTCAACCATCAAGGCAAAAATCGAGTCACCAAAATATCAGATAGTATGGGGTAGACACCTTGAGTTGGGAATCTCTATGGTCAGTGTTAGAAAGAACGCACTGCACAATGTATGCATAAATAAAAGCTAATTATCTTACGACTTCAGTTTTAATTTATCGGATTCCTTGATTCCTTCACTCGACAATGTTTAAATTTTGGGAAAATTTTCGAAACGATTGAAGTCGGTTGATCAAAGCTATACATTTGCATGATATAAATTAATAAATTTTAAACATAATTAATATCACTTATAATGTTTAAATATGATAAGCATAAATATATATGATAATTAAACCGAAACTCGTCCTAAAAGCCCGAAATTATTAAAAACAAATCAATTTGTTTAAACATTATTAAATTATCCCCGAAAATGTGCATTTTCCCGGCCAAAATATGAAAAATAATTTTTGCAATCTCATTGTGACGTACGATGACGTCACTGTCACCTGAGCTACCTGTCCGAAGGTCACGTTTCGCAGTCCTTTGTGTTCAGTATTAATTTCTGTTTGATGGCGGCAAGATCGTCGCTTCATTTTGGCGTAAAAGTGGAGCGTTTTAGCGAATTTATACTTTATTATTAATAAATATTACGGAAAATATGTTGTGTTAGTGCTGTGAACGCGAACGAAAATGGATATTTTTCCGAAAAGGACCGAAAACGAGGTAAGTACGACTTCAGTTTTAATTTATCGGATTCCGTGATTCGTTTATTCGACTTTGTTTAAATTTTGGGGACATTTTCGAAACGATTGAAATCGGTTGATCAAAGCTATACATTTTCACGATATAAATAAATAATTTTTAAACATAATTAATATCATTTATAATGTTTAAATATGATAAGCATCAATATACGATAATTAAGCCGAAACTCGTTGCCCTACAAGCCCGATGTTATTAAAAACAAATCAATTTGTTTAAACAATGTTAAATTATCCCCGAAAATGTGCATTTTCCCGGCCAAAATATGAAAAATAATTTTTGCAATCTCATCGTGACGTACGATGACGTCACTGTCACCTGAGCTACCTGTATAAACGTCACGTTTATCGGTCCTTTGTGTTCAGTATTAATTTCTGTTTGATGGCGGCAAAGATCGACGCTTCATTTTGGCGTAAAAGTGGAACGTTTTCGTGAATTTCTAGTTTATTATTAATACATATTACGGAAAATATGTTGTGTTAGTGCTGTGAACACGAACGAAAATGGATATTTTTCCGAAAAAGACGGAAAACAGGGTAAGTAGGTACGACTTCAGTTTTAATTTATCGGATTCCGTGATACGTTTGGTCGACAATGTTTACATTTTGGATAAATTTTCGAAACGATTGAAGTTGGTGGGTCAAAGCTATACATTTTCGCGTTATAATTAAATAAAATTTAAACATAATTAATAGAATTCATAATGTTCAAATGTGATAACTATCAATATATGATAATTAAACCGGAATCCATCTTCCTAAGAACACGAGGTTAGCAAAAACAAATTAGTTTCTTTAAACATTGTTAAATTAACCCCGAAAATGTACAATTTCTGATCTAAAATATGAAAAATAATTTTTGCAATCTCATCGTGACGTACGATGACGTCACTGTCACGTGAGCTACCTGATAAAAGGTCAGTTTTTCCATCCTCTGTGTTTAGTTTTGATTCCGGTCTGGTAGCAGCAACACAGGAGCTCCGTTTTGGCTTAAAAGTAGCACATGTTCGCCAATTTCTAATTTATTGTTAATAAATATTAGCGAAAATGTTTTGTGTTACGTGCTGTGAACACGAAGGAAAGTGGATATTTTTCCAAAAATGCCCGATTTTTTTTTAAATATGTTGTTAATAACATGCATTCAGGACTAATAAAGTACGGCTTTGGAATATACAAAGTGCAGCGTTCATAATTCACAAAATACCGTATGCATCATTTTTAAACTACGGCGTCGAAATTTACAAAATACGATGTAATTCACCCATGCTATCAAACCCTAGTCCTCTCTTTTAATGGCAAGACGCACTCCAGACCTCCTCGTATTGTTTGGTTCTTGCTGGGCAACAACAACGAGCGAGCAGAGTCATCGCTCTTTGTTGGCAAACGTGGAGAAATTTGTATATTGTAACTTTTGTAATTGAAGCATTTTGTACTGTATATTGTATGTGTTACTAACTTAACTTGGGTCTTGCCAATTTAGCTCCAGTGGTGCAAATGCTTTGTTTTCACGGTGCATTTGCTTGGGTTTTAATTTTGCAACAGTGCATTCTTTGGTTCCGGGTTTGAATTCTCCATGTCGTCAGACGCTTTGGCCTGGGGGGGTTCTTTTGGCCCTTAGACGCTGGGTTGCATCGTTCTTTGAGAATGAGGTAAGACGACCTTGGATTTATGCGGCTGCGTTCTCCCTTGGGCGTGTGAGCGCTGCGACCAATAGATTTCGTCCCGAGTTCCATCGGTGTGCTTGCTTGGGTTTTCATTTTGCAACATTCTCAATTTTTGGTGCAATTTCTTCCGGTGGTGTATACTAACTTTGCATTTGTATTGTATCTGAATTGTATCTGTATCTGTAGTGTATTCTGTATTGTAGCTAGATTGTAGGTACCTGTATTGTATTTCCGTTGTATTGTACTGTATAACGTTCTATCCCTCATTAACAATTCCTAGCCCACTCCTTTCCTAGCGAGATCTGCTCTAGACCTTCCCGTGGTTCTTGCTGAGCATCAACTATCGAGGACAGAAAATTCAAATTCAAAACCAGCAAAGTTTCACAAAAATTATGAAAATCGCTCGTTGGTGGCCAACGTGGAGCAAAAGAGACTTTTGTAACTCAACTAACTTTGTTAACTCTATATTCTTAAGGAAAACAAAATATATTACATTTAATTTATCATTTATAAGGACAAATAGTCATTTGCCACGCCGATGCTCATTTTTAGATTAAATGCTCACAAAACGCGTAAATGTTCAATTTGTGTCCGGGGAGATACAATGTTTGCAAGTAGATACACAGTACATCGGGTAGATGTTCAGGTATATAAGAGTAATAATGAAGTAGGTACTTCGTACTTCGAATATGAGTATCTACTCAGTTTTATTCATACCGTCCAATGTCTCGCTTCAATGTTTGATTATGATGTTGATTATGAGCACAACGCTGATCAACTTCCGTATCCGAATTACCCTTGAAATAAATCATCGCGATTTGCACCTTAGGTAGTTCGTCGCACATTTGATTGACTTCGTGGACTCATGTCAGCTTGTCGCCTTCTCGGCATTGTAATGAACTTCATAAAACGACACAGAATTATTTTCACAGTCAATCAAATCTGTAAATTTTGTCTTGAGAATTTTAAAATATTGAAAACTTCAAATTAAATCCTTGAATAATGGTAAAGTTTGAAGTTTTGTCGAAACTAACAAAGTGAACATAGGTAAATAGAATGGCAGATCAAAATTAATAAGACACTTTCGCAATGTGTAACTAAATTCACTTTAACTAAGACTTTTCTTAAAATAAACGACGTTTTTTTTTTTACGAAAAAACAAAGAACGATTTGAAATGCAATAATACTTTTTTCACAATCGCACGGAAGAAATAGTTTTGTATGACACGTCAGTTAGGCGACAGGTCCGTCAGGAACGCCAACTATTCAAATTCATTCGAAGTGGCGATTCCCATGCAAAATTTTTAAAATTTGTTTTATCTTTTAGCCGTCTTATTTTTTATAAATTTTCTTACATATAAACCTTGTCCTGACAATTAAGTACACGTAAAAAAAAGAATCGTCCAATTCGGTGCAGTCGTTCTGAAGTTATGAGCATACATACATTTCGGCGATTCATTTTTATTAATATAGACTAGCTGACCCGGTGAACTTCGTTTCACCTACAATTTAATTTTGAATCTGCAAAACCGAATGCTTTGAAAACTTGCAGATGTTTTAAACATATGATAAGCATAATAAATTTTTCTTCAAAATATATTTACTTATCCTCTCCAAAAAATTGATGACGTGAGCCCAAAATTTGCCAAATGAATCCTATCTAAAATGTCCAAAATAGGATGAGTCTATACTTGTGATTTATTATTCCATTCATATTGTTTAGATTTGCTTATATAGGGTGACTCAAAAAAATTAATGAATGGGTGTAATAATTTTATTGATTTAATCAGGAACTGCAAAACCGAATGTTCTGAAATCTTGGAGATGCTTTAATGTTATCATAAGCATGGTAATTTTTTGATTAAAATGTATTTGTTCATTCTTCCTAAAAAATTGATGACGTCACCTGAAAATTTTGCTGAATAAATCCTATCTGAAATGCGCAAAATATGATGAGTTTTTACTTGTGATTTATCACTGCATTAATTTTTTTTAGTTTTGCTTAAACGGGGTGTCCCAAAACAATTAATCACTGGGTCAATTTATTTTATTGACTGAATCAAGAATTGCAAAACTGAATAATTTGAAATATTGCAGACGTTTTGAAGTTACTGTAAGCATGGTAGCTTTTCAAAATATATCTGTTTATCAAGCCCAAAAACTTGATGACGTCATCTCAAAATTTTGCCGAATAAATCCTATCTAAAATGTGCAAAATATCATCAGTATATATTCGTAATTTATCATTGCATTCATATTTTTACTTCCCGAGCGTAAGCAAAGGAATTATTGTAATCGAGGAAATAGGTCTCCCATTTCCGTCTGTCTGTCCGTCTGTCCGTCTGTCTGCCATCCCGGATTTTTATTAGACAGATAATCTCCGAAAGTACTGGACCGATTGTTGTGAAATTTTGTACTTCTATTAGGAATATCATGTAGATGGTAAAACGCTAACCAAAATTTGTCTAATCATCCCCACCACTAATGCGATGACGTCACTTCAAAATTGTACATAGTAAATCGGTTTTAAATCGTATCAAATAACATAGTGTTTTACGACTCCGAATTGAGTTTCTACCCGAAACGTCCAGATTTTTGGAAAAAAATCAAAATTATTAAACAACATTTTGGAATTTAATTTTGAATCTGCTAACCTGAATGTTTTGAAATGTTGCAGATGTTTTAAGGCTATAAAGAGCATCATAAATCTTTAGTCAAAATATATTTGCTTATCCCCTCAAAAAATTGATGACGTCAGCTCGAAAGTTTGCCGACTAAATCCTATCTAAACTGTACAAAATATGATGAGTCTGTACTTGTTAGTTATCACTCCATTCATATTTTTGGGATTTGTATATACAGGGTGACCCAAAAAATTAATGAATGCGTAAATTTATTTTATTGATTTACTCAGGAACTACAAAACCGAATACTTTGAAATCTTGATGATTCTTAAAAGTTGTTATAAGCCTGGTAAGTTTTTGATCAAAATGTATTTGCTCATCTCCCCTAAAAAATTTATGACATCACCACAAAATTTCGCTGAATAAATCCTATCTAAAATGTACAAAATATGATGAGTCTCTCCTTGTGATTTATCATTCCATTCATATTTTTTGGATTTGCATATACAGGGTGACCCAAAAAAATTAATGAATGCGTAAATATATTTTTTGCACTCATGATCTTTTTTGATGGCTTTCGTGCATTCACCAGGGTGCGGGAGTTCGAACTTCCCGCACACGTGCATTTTAACTTCCCGTTGCCATGGTAACCTTAAAATACTCGCGTAGTGTCAACATTGTGATGTGTTGACGGCGCCATTGTTTATAAGTAACTCACAGTTAATTTCTTCAGTTTAAAGGTTTATTCGTTGCAAAAAATATTGTACACAACACGTTCGTGAGCCTGCTTCCCGCATTCACGCAAATGCGGCACTCCCTTCGGTCGTGCCGCAAACAAGCGTTCATGCGGGAAGCAGGCTATCCCGAACTAGTTGTGTAAATTACTATTATTGATTTAATCAGGAACTACAGAACCGAATGTTTTGAAATCTTGCAAATGTTTTAAGGTTATAAAGAGCATAATAAATTTTTAGTCAAAATACATGTGGTTATCTTCTCCAAAAAACTGATGACGTTAGCTCAAAAGTTTGCCGAATAAATCCTGTCTAAGGTGGAATATACAAAATATGATGAGTCTGTACTTGTAATTTATCATTCCATTCACATTTTTTGAATTTGCATATACCGAGTGACTCAAAACAATAATGAATGCGTAAATTTATTTTATTGGTTTACTCAGGAACTACAAAACCGAATGCTTTGAAATCTACTGCGAAAAAAAAACATAATAGACATGCAGTCGTCACGTTTCCGACAGCGAGGGAAGTACTGTCTAAACTCTTTAGACCAATTTTTTAGATTTGCTTTTACAGTGACTTAAAAAAATATATGGATCAGTCAATTTATTTTATTGAATAACTCAAGAGTTGCAGAAATGAATACTTTGAGATCTTGCAGACGTTTTAAAGTTATTGTAAGCGTGGTAAATTGTTAATCATTAAAAATTGATGGGACGGCTCACTCGATTTTCGCAGATAATTTTGGAGATACAATACAGTTATTTTTAGTATTAGTTACACTGCACCAATCCAAGGTGATATACGTGTTGATTGTAAATTTAATGTTGTTTTGGTCATCACAAAATTGTGTGAAGAAAAGACGCATCTCGAACATGCTGAATATGTTACATTATACTTTTGGTGCGAAGGAAGTTCTATCGAAAAAACGTTCGATCAGTTGTTTGACAATGGTTGATATAAATAAAACTCAGTAAATACTCATACTCGAAATACGAAGTATCTACTCGAATATCAAATCAAAATATTTCTAGTTTTTCTAGATGATGCTAATACTTCAGTAGGTAACAGTTGATGCTAAAGTAGCATCTCGACACAACAAAAACGGAAAACAGTGACAGTGTTCAACCATAAAGGAAAAATTCGGGTCACCAAAATATAAGTTAGTATGGGGTAGACACCTTGAGATGGGAATCTCTATGGCCAGTGTTAGAAAGAACGCACTGCACAATAAATAAATAAAAGTTAATTACCTGAAAAGTTTTCGATATTCCCGCTCCTAACGTGTTCTTCAAACTGAATGCACTTTTTGGCGACGTTCCACGTTCATGAAAGTCCCCATATTTAGTCAAAACTCACTCTTACAACGATCCTGCTCGTTTTCTAAGCTGCTTTACAGACAGTTCAATCATTTGCCATGCCGATGCTCATTTTTAGATTAAATGCTCACAAAACGCGTAGGTAGATGTTCAATTTGTGTCCGGGGAGATACAATGTTTCCAAGTAGGTACTCAGTACATAGAGTAGATGCTCAGGTATATAAGATTATTACTCTTTCTAGGTACTTCGTACTTCGAATATGAGTATCTACTCACTTTTATTCACACCACCCAATGTCTCGCTTCAATGTTTGATTATGTTGATTATGAGCACAACGCTGATCAACTTCCGTATCCGAATTACCCATGAAATAAATCATTGCGATTTGTACCTGAGGTAGTTCGTCGCACATTTGATTGACTTCGTGGACCTATGTCAGCTTGTCGTCTTCTCGGCGTTGTAATGAACTTCATAAAACGGCACAGAATTATTTCCGCAGTCAATCAAATCTGTAAATTTTGTCTTGAGAATTTTAAAATACTGAAAACTTCAAATCAAATCCTCGAATAACGGTAAAGTTTGAGGTTTTGTCGAAACCAACAAAGTGAACATAGGTAAATAGAATGGCAGATCAAAATTAATAAGAAACTTTCGCAATGCGTAACTGCATTCACTTTAACGAACACTTTTCTTGAAATAAACGACGTTTTTTGTTACGAAAAAACAAACAACGACTCGAAATGCAATAATACTTTTCACAATCGCACGGAAGAAATAGTTTTGTGTGACACGTCAGTCAGGCGACAGGTTCGTCAGGCATGGCCAACTATTCAAATTCATCGGAAGTGGCGATTCCCGTGCAAAATTTTTAAATTTTTTTTAATCTTTAACCCGTCTCATTTTTTCTAAATATTCTTACATATAAACCTTCTCCTGACGATAAGGAACACGTAAAAAAAAGAATCGTCCGATTCGGTGCGGCCGTTCTCAAGTTATGGGCGTACATACATTTCGGCGATTCATTTTTATTAATATAGATAGAAGATAGATTTACAAGTGTGAATCTTTAAGATGACGTCATCCTATTGTTGGTAGGAATGATTAGATACATTTTGGCTAGCGTTTTACCATCTCCACGATATTCCAACATATATATCAAATTTCACAACAATCGATCCAGTAATTTTGAAGATTATTATCCGTCTAATAAAAATTGACAGAGACGTCAAACAGATAGACAGACAGAAACGGGAAACGTACTTTTTTGTACTCTAGGGACCATGAAACATCGAGAAAACATGAAAGTGCTCGTCGTTCGATGGACTCTGTTACAGTCTTCCCTAGCTTACGCTCGAGAAGTAAAAAATACACCAAATTTTATATAATTCGAAGGATGACAACAAGATAATCCATCATGATTCTCTTGAAAAATGAAACCAAAATTGTTTCACTGCATTAAACTGAGCTTATTTGGAAACAAATATCAGAGATCTCCAGATGTCTTTACCGTTTTGAGTAATTTTACCATTTTGGTATTAATGAGAACATTATGCCCACCTTTTATTTCAAAATATTATTTAAAATTTACTACAAATTTTCTAAAACCTTTATAATAGAATCAAAAATCACGAGAACTATCATTTTAACTAGATGTATGCTATAATCTTGAGTGTTGACTGTGGAGTATCCGATAAATTGAAATTTTCCTGATTGATTTCAGGTGTAACCATTAAAATTCAGGCAACTTTTTTCAGTTGTAAATATTCGTAACAAATTGCCTGAAAAATTCCCGATAAGCTTTTGAAATGGCAACGCTTTATCGAATGTTTTGCGTAATTTAATGAGAATATTTAGTCTGACAAGAGTGTTTATCTCTGACGTCTATTTTTTGGTTAACATATCATCTTGTTGATACTTTGCACATTTACGTATTTTACAACTACGTCTAATAATAATGGGAGTATAATATTGAATAACTGATACCTAATTAGTAATTAGTAATAACCGTCTAACTGGACGTTCTGAACTACTTAGATACTTTCATTTTTATGTCTTTATTATTGCTATGAGACATTCGCAACGGTGAGTGCTTGTATTCTGTAACCGCTTGTAAGCAAGGATATCTGCCAAATATAATATTTGTTCGAACTGGTAGTGTCAACAAAGGGAAATCTCCTGGAATACCTTCAGTGTCTGAAAAAGTTGTTGATGATTTGAGACGACTCGAGCAGAATCTGCAAATATCTTTGACAAGATTGTTTCAGCAATCAGGAGTTTCTGTTACAACATGTAATTGACTAATGTGTCCAAAGTATTGACGAAAGGATGTTACAGACCATTTTTGAAATTAAAAAGAAAATGAATATGTGCCTTGTACAAAATGGTGAACATTTTCAACATTTACTGTGATATTTAACCACAATAAATTTGTTTCTTTTTATTGGAATGAATTAGGTTTTTTTTAAAAAAGATATGAAGCAATTACGCAACCAGTTTTGCACATGTGTGTCGTATTTATCGTGAGCCCTTGGGCATTTACTAAAGTCCATATAAAATGTTAGGCGGCACACTTCCGTGACCTACTTCGACTCATTTATAGAAACCCTGTACCTTTATTGCAGTTTTTAGAAAAGAATGACCAGAATGATGGAATTCAAACATAAATGAAGAAAATGAAATATACTTTCACTCAACCTGTGTTTATAAATCTGCCATAAAATTTTTAGATTGTCCTCTTGTCGGGTAAGGGACGATACTTCTCTATTGTCGATAAGTCTTTAATGTATCCATCAGTGACCATTTCCACTTTTTCTTTAATTGTGTACTGCGGCATGTTGACGAATTTCGGTCATTAAAAACCAGTAATCGAACGAGTAATCAAATTGTAGAAACGTCAGGTAAACTTCTGTTTTTACATGGCTGCCTCTAATATTACCGATAAAAATGTCCAAATAATTCAATTCTTTTAAAGAAATTTCCTTTAATTTAAAGCATAACCTTTAATAAATCCGACAAAAGATGACTCAAATTACATCGAGTAAAAATTTCAACTCTGCATCTTTACTTAAACATAAGTAACATGGGGTACAAAATTTAACATGAAACAATCCCTATGGTCACTTTTTAAAAATATGCGTATGAATGGCTAAAAAAAACAAAAAACAAAAAACATAACTACTGAAATTGACTTTGGGATTCCCTGTCTCAACATGATACTATCAGCGTAGATAACAGCACAATTTCAGTGCAGTCAATACTACTATATTTCCAGTTAGTTACTAACTACACATCACTTTATTACAGTTTAACACGAGAATCGTTTCGAGTCCATATACCGCCTGACTAATCTAATAAATATTTTATTTCAAGTACCATTTCAACCCTGATCCTTTCATAATTAAAAAGCGTACACGTCAAAAACTAAATTAAAAAACTTCCTGGGTTAGTCAATTATCGCTTTGAATCAAAACGCTACGTTTTAATGAAAAATTAATGAAAATGCCAATTAAACTTTATGGTGATGGCGTTGAAAGCTTCTGTTGTATCGAACTGAAAAAACAGGACATCGACAAAATGCTGAAATTATAAAGCGCACTACGGTCCTTACATACACATATTCCAGAAACGTTCTCCGATGAAAAATTCACAACTGATAACCTGAAACGTAAATTTGTGATTTTTAAATAATTATAAACCATTGAATTATATTTGTACAAGTCCGTATCGACCTCATATTAATGATTAAAGGAACATTACAAAGTCGCTGATATTGCTTTTGAGTTATCTATATAGATAAATTTCCTTTGGAAGAAAGGTGACTCTTTGCCGGCGCGATTTAAGAATTTGGGCGCCAGCTAGCAACGCTCCCCGCTGAGAGGATTACACCACTCAAGAAATTATTCCAAGGATTTAACTCAACAAAACATATGTCCTGGCAAATATAAGAGAGTGGAAAAGCTTATTCATTCGACACTCGATCTTATCTCTTTAAGTGGCTTTTTATAAAGATTTAGCTGGAAAGTTCCAGGGTGTGAACTTTGAGCCGGAAGAGGGGTGTAAACGAGCTGTCATCGAAATTAATTCGTCGATTTTTTAATAAAACCTTTTAGACTAAGCATTTTCTTTAGAAAGATAGAAGTAATAGTTTCACCTAACTATTTCTTTTACGGTATTTACAAGTTGTAGATTAAATTTACATATTTTAAATCCCGCATTATTTCTTTCGAATCCATAAGCAAAAGATGGAAATTTAGGGAAGACTACAAAAAAAGTATACAGCATGGCGCAAATTTTTTAGGACAAGAAAAATTTGCTGGTCATCCTAATTACTAGTTTATTTCGACAGAACTTCCTTTTTTCGAAAAATTATATATAAAGAAAAACTAGTGGCATAAATAACCTTTCGTAACCTGCGTCGTGGTGACCCAAGTAGCAAGGGATTGTGGAAATTGCACAAATACGGACAAGGTAAAATATATTTAAAGCAGATAACCAACGGGAAAAAATGGCCTCTCAGCAGTAATAACAAGCTTTCTTGCGATGTATAAATAAGAACTTGAAATTTATTTTGATTTGAATGAGTTTGTCGCCTCAAAATAGGAGAATAAAATTTTGATCCAGCCAAACTCGAACAGAATGTTCTAAATATTATTATTATTTTTATTAAATAAACATGGGCGTATTCTCACCTTGTCGAGAAAGTGGGCTGACTAGTTCTTAATTTGATCAATAAAAATTTTGTTATGACGTCATAAACGTAACACAATGCAAGAGAAAAAGAAAAAAAAACGAAAGGCCAAGCCTGGTATCGAACGCGTTCTCAACTCTTATCCACTGGACCACGATCGGAATGTCTTACGCTAATGGTAAACTGTTGTATTATGTTTTTATGCATTTTTATGTGCATTTTGTCTTGCGAAAATTTGGACGATTAGGGAAAGAGTGAAAGCGGATTCGTACACCACCCTTATAGGAATATATTGCTGTATAACAATCAAATGAAGTAAACATAGAATTCTTTGAAATGACGTCATCAAATTTTTGGTTCGGTTAACGTTTAACCACCTACATGATATTGCTAACTTTGACAACAATCGGTCTGGCAGTTTCGGAGAATATGTGTTTAATAAAAATGGAGACAGACAACCAGACAAACAGACGGAAACGGGAGACCACTTTTTTCGTACTGTAGGGGTCATGAAACGTTGAGAAAATATATAAAAGTGGTCATTCGTCCAATTGACTCCTCGTAAGACTTAGTGGTAATATGGTGTATGGTTTGTAGAAAATACTTTAAAAATGTACTGCATGTTTATTTTAGACGTATTTCTTCTAAAATTCGTTTAATAATTTCCAAAAAAAAAAATAGTCTAAAGTTATTTAGACAGAACATCTCTCACCCTTGAAATACAGACCAACAAAAAATACAAAAATATTTTTCGAAAAATTGTAACATTTAATTTTGCGAATTTAATTTTCTGTTAAAGTAAAGCTAAAGGAGCATGCTGTGCGTATGTTTCAGGTGAGTTTTTTCATAATAAAATTTTGTAATGACGTCATCAATGCTATATTAAGAACACATATCTATATCAATTTGGATAGATGCAGTGTAGTATCAATATTAACAGTCCTGTGTACTGAAATTTTCGAAAAAACGGGATGCGCCGTTCTTAATTTGATGAATAAAATAGATTGCCTCATTAACTATTTTTTTGATTCACCCTGTATGAGTAATTCTAAAAAATAGGAAAGCATTCATAAAGCACAAGTGTGGATTCATAATATATATTTTACGTATTTTAAATAGACAACGTCATCAATTTTTGATTAACGATTTACAATGCACACAACGCTTGCAAATTTCAGAGGTTTAACAGTTTCAAAGTTAAATTATAAAATGTTGTTACACAATTTTAATTTTTTTCCAAAACTGAATGTCTAGACCCACTTTTTCGCACTCTAAGGGAATTGTAGAGAAAACATGAAAGTAGCTATTTGTTGTATGGACCCTATTATTTACAATACTGCCTTAGCTTATGCTCGGGAAATAACAAACACACTTTGGGTATATAATTCAACCATTGATTTCATCATTAAATAAATTTGTATTGTTGTGTTAAATTTTATACAAGTATTTTTAAAACAATATGGCTTGATCCAACACGGTTGGATGACGTATATCTTCAGGTAGTAACGGAATACAGAGCTTAGTCTAGGGAAAATAAAATTTGTAATATTTAGTTTCGTTTGCTGACGTTATTTTTACGACATCGATTTTATCATCTGCGTTTAATGGGTTACTTTATCATTACTTTCCATTTTTTGCACGGACAGTAGATTAAGCAGCACCGGTCCTGCATACTACTGAATCACTATTTGTTACGACAAGATAAAGAAGTCTTCCAAAGATTGCAATCGGATGGGGGTCATGTGGAGTGACATTCGCGGCTGGATTAGCATAGGTTCAATGAAATCAGATAAAAATAACCACTGATACTGGCACTCAATACACCCGCCAGCCACAATTGATTGGGATACTCTATCACGCTGACGATACCTCCCTCTTTAGCGACTATTTTAAACCGATTGATGGTCCATCTAGAACACAGAAGGGACCTGAGATAACACTGACAATTTCCCGAAGATGATGAGTCATGGATCGACCGAACTCTTCGTCCAATCTCACACATTGTTAAATTAGGGGACGTAAAAAGTAGTGGCGGATCGTCTGCCAGAGATAAAATAAAGACATGTGGTTAGGATATTGGCCAATGGTGGAGCAGGCAGTAAGCCCACCCTGAAAAACCAAATTTCCCGATTCTTTTCAGCAGTGGTCATTATTAAACGCTTTGTTCAGCAAGAAAACCCAGTTAGACCCAATAGCTGCCGAAATCTCTTGTTATATGATCCCGACAATCGTCTCTAAAGCCAGAAGATGTCGCCAAGATAACAAATGAAACAAGCTTCCGGAGGAGGCGGAGACACCAAATGATTGAATTCAAAGTAGAATCGAACCGTTTCCTTTTATTGTAGCCAGTTTTTATAAGGCCACTATTTAAGTATCGCATGCAATAAAAATCTTCCGACGAACTGATTATTTCATCGAGAAAAACAAATTGTTAGTTTTTTTACTCGCTTCCTGCAGTTTATCAAAAATAATACATTTGACAGAAATAGAAATATTTATGTCAGTAGTTGTGACAGTTTAAAAAATCATGGACGAAATTAAAATTGAACAGCCTAAAGTACAAACCAGACTTATTATTCCGCAGGAAAAATATGATTTACTTGTGTGGACCGAACACGAAAAATTATTTCGCGAAAGAGCTGCGTTTAGAAACAAAATCTTGGCTGAAATTCTTGTACCGTTTACGATAGCTCTCCAAGTAAAGCTTCGCAGATCTCTCCTAGGAACTTACTTGGAACACATGAATGAAAATCAGTGGCAAAATGAATTTCTTAACATGAATAAATTAGCTGTTACGGATACGGTTATGGAAAATTTTAGTTCAAAGCAGTGGAAAAAATTTGAATATAATAACAATTATTTACTTGATGAAGTAATGGATGTTTTAAAAAGAACCGTTACAGAAAGTGGCAAAGTGGATTGCCGATTTATTTATGAACGTGCTACCTTTCTCAGATTAGACGATTACCACGTAAGTGTTTTGTTGTTACTTTTAAACTTGTTTCCCCAATTTTACGGTGGTTGTTAAAACATGTCAATACTATTGTATTTGTATTTTTTAAATATACTAATGATGGCATGGTAGTCTATCAGATAGTAATAAGTACCTGAAGCAAAAATCAGTCGGAACGTTATACTTTGCAAACAAATTCACAAGAAAGACATTTACGTCCCGAGCGCGTAAAAGTTAAGGGAGGTGTTGTAATAGAGTCAGAGTCAATTGCATTACTGTTTGCTTATTCGATGAAAATATATGCAGCAAAACACTGAAAGCCGAAACTACGAAAATGGGTTTTCTAAAATTTCTCCAGATTGTCCTGAAATTGCTAAAACACTAATGAAAGTTGGTTGGCTCTTGACATATAGCACATGATATATGTTTAGTTAAACGAAAAAAAGTTTGAAGCATAAAATTTTACAATTTATCCCAAACATTACCTAACAGATCTCTTCGAAATTTTGGTAAAACACCAACTTCGATTTAAATACTACAAAACATTGGCAAAATTATTTGCGCATAACTTCTCACCTCTGAAACAGAACCTTATGCATGTCGTGGTATCTTTTAAATAGGTGCATGTTTAATATGTATTTTAAGATGACTGAATCAGTACAGGTATACTACTAAGATTTAATAAATCTATTGTTTGATTTTTGGGATAGCTTATAAACTGTATGAAATAATTAGAGATCGGATTATATGCAGTTTGCACATCTCATATTTTTGATATGACAAATAAATGCTTTAGTGTATTGACGTAGATTAATTATTGCTTATTTTCCATATTTTGACGTTACCTTGCATTTTTTGTCGATTGGAGCATATTTATGCATATTTATGTATGTGTTACTTTGTCAGTTGAAAAAAAATCCAAACAACTTCTTTTCTTAAAATATTCAGAAAATCCGAAATTGGGTCTGCTATTGTCATAGTCAGCACTTTTTACAGGTCGACGTGAATTGTTTATTAGGAGGCCATAAAATTTTTTTATTTTTCACTCGTATATAATGTTTGTTTTATATCCATGATTTGATAAACGTAAAGCGGCATCTTATATCCGGGGCACAATGAGCGGGCATAAAGAGTTATTATGCCCTCTCATTATGCTCTATTTTGCTAAACCGAATTAAACAAAAATTAAAAAAAAATATTGTTTATTTTTAACTGCTTATTTATTTTTTGACAATTTATTTAATAACGAAGATACAAATTACAATTTACAAACTTGCTATTCATACCAAACTATTCAGGTAAACTTAAACTTTTCGGAGGTGCCTCTGTTGGAATTATTTCTGCCTCTGCTTCCATTCTGCTAGCACCGAATAAAGTATTATATAAAAATCTTGAATTGTGTTCACTCATTCTCCAACTACCTTTACTACATGAAACATTCGTATTTAAATTAATTACAATCATCAAAAAATAACTTAGTTTATCTTCTGAAGTAAATGTCTGTTGTCGGAAGCATCTTTTAGAAATTGCATGACTTGTTCGCCAGTCAAAACTCGGGATTTTTTTGGCACATAACCTTTTGGGTTTTTTATAGAAATATGTCAAACGATGATAATTAGAAATGTCTATGTTGTCGTTTACTCTTAAAGTTGTCTTGACCATCGAGTATTTTCACCATAAGGAACTGGGTGAATATTTTTCTGACTAAAAATGAAGAACACAGTTAAATAATTATTTTATAAACAGAATAACTCACCAATTCTTGGAAGTAAGCCACTTCTTAATCTTCCAATTAAGGAAAATTTTGTATTCTTTTTCATATATGGATCCTGATGTTCCAGGTAACACATTTTCATTGGCTTTTTGCGCTTTCTTCACAATGGTTTCTGGAATTTCACAATATGCACCACGGGCACAACTTGATGTTTATAAATCTCGGGCAACTTACAAAATCTCGGGCCAGAGGCCCTCGATTTTGTAAACGTTGCCCTCGAATATAAACATCTTCTTTGTGCCCTTGGTACATAAATAACCATTATGATTTCTTTTTGATAAAAGTCAAAGAACATCTGACTATCTGTTTGAGTTTTTCTGGTATTTTTGTAAATAAATGTACCTGAAGATTTGTTTGTTGCAGCTTACATCGGTTAGTTTGACTAATTAGAAGGGTGTTTTGTCTGAAGTTATACAAGTTTAGCTAGGTACATGTCGACTAAGCATACAATATCTTATACCTAATATTAGCAAGAAAGATGGGGAGAATCATTTGACAAAATATTTCTAATTCATTCATAAGTAGACATTGAAAAATACCGGTGATAGTAAATTTTGTGAAAAATGTCCAAAATGAAAACAGTTTTAATAAATTCATGGATAAAAGGTTATGATAAATAAACAACAAGTACTTAGTTCAAATTTATCTAAACCGATGCTTAGTGCCAATTGTTCTTCATAAAAAGTTACAAGAACCCTTGTTTCAAAGCGTTTTTAAAAAAATATTGTAAAAATATAATACCGGATGAAAGTAAGCTGGAAAAAAATTATGTACCAAATTTTTACAATGAGACAATTTGTAGTACAATTAAAGAAATTGTAAAAAAACAATTTATATATTTTGTAGTGGACGAAATGTTTGATACTCGCGGGCGTTATATTGCCAATCTACTGGTAGGTTATTTAAGTGGTAAAGAATCGAGTAAATCTTACTTATCTGCGACCTACATGATAATCACTTATTATGACGACTATTTGAGTTATATAATCTTCAATATTGTTTCACTAGTGGTGTAATGAAATTCATTACACAACTCATTTTGATCTTCAAAAATAAATTTATAAATATAGAGATGGAACATCATTTTTAAGTAGGTACATTACAAACAATAAAACAGTTTAGTCGCAACTTTTTTTATTTTCTTTTAATGTATTAATGTACTCCTCCTCCACTGTATTCGATTTCAAGCCTCCATGGTGTTTTACGGGTAAGAGGTCTAGTCCAGAGTCTGCAAGCATCGAAGTGAAAGAGCGTCTGAAGCAATACCCAGTGTACTCTTTAGGATCTGATAAATTAAAAAATGTAGCGATGTTTTTTAACGTATTATTGTACGTTGTATTGTACAAAAACCTTTCCTGTATCCAACAAAAAATCTTCCATGGTAGGTATGCTGAGGACGTAATGCGAAATACTTCCTAATTATTTCCACCATATCAAGCTCCTGGATGCCATCAAGCTTTACAAAAAATTCTCTGGAAATTTTGGTTTTGGTGTTCTGGATTTGTTTATCGAAAACCAATATTTTCTAGTAGCGAGTTAGTGAACTGTTCTTTTCTGCAAGCTCCTGCGATGCCTGTTATCAGTGCAACGTAAGAAAAATATGAATTAAAATAATTTGAGGACATTTTAGGCATATCCTACCTTAGTAAGCAACAACTGCTTATCGTCAGCTTCTTTCAGGAACCTTCCAGTCTCATTTTTCGTAAATATTTTTGACTTCTTGAGTCTGCACATTTCTGATTGCTTTTTAAAAATGCAATCAATTCCTTGCATTTGCTTATGTCAACATTGTTTTTCTTACAAATCGTCGCCTTCAGCATTGAATAGCCCAAATACTGAAGGATTTGTACTTTTTCCACAGATTGTCGAAGTACGCCAGCAAAACCTTCATACTGGTTACATTTTGCATTTGTTTCTAGTTACACCATTTCAAATACCGCTCCTAAATTTTTTCATACTTCAATTTTGATTTTGCTGGTAATAACGCAGATAGACCACTGGTCGCAGCTTCTCCTATATCTGAGGGAACACTCCGCGAGTCATCATAACGTTCGTCTCACGAAAAACGTAAAATTAAGCGTTGTTAAAAACATCCAACTAGTCACCATGGTATCAAAAAATTTATTGCACTTTAATGCCAAATTTAAATTTTTTATAAAATATTTATTTGTATTAGTTTTGTGACTTATCTAAACGGTCGCAGATAAAATGTTGTACATCACTCGTGGGCTAGCGCATATTATACTCTCGTGTGGTTACCACGACTGGTTCTACGCACTCGTAGCACTTGTAATGTAAATAACTAAGTATTATTTGCATGTAAACAATTAGAAAAAAACAACCACCTGACTGTATTAAGATTTATTAATGAATCTTTCATGAGTTTTTTCCTTCCTGATATTGTGCCGACGGAAGATTTTAGTTACCTTGTCCGATGCAGCGGCATACAGGTTTGATTAAGGCCGGTTTTAAACTTAAAATTCTATACCCTAATTTGATTCAAATTACTTGTTTGACGCACGAATTAAATAGAGTTACTGAGAAAATTCTGCAACAATTTTCAACTATAAATTCTCTAATAAGTAATGTTAAAAAAATATTTGTAAAGTCACCTTTGAAGGTGCAAATGTATAAAGAAAAGTTGCCAAGAACTCTACTGACAATCGGACCTGAATCCGTTGTTACCCGATAAGGTACTTGATTAATAAACGTCGAAATTTTTTACGCGGAATATTTCGAACAAATAAAAAATTTGATTTTAGAATTTTTATAAAACATTTTTTGCTGAAGGAATTAGCATTTATTTAAGTGATTATTAATTTCTTTCGGCGACGATTACAAAACTAGAAACATAGTACATGCCCTTGATTAAATCTGTGCAGTTAATTAAAAATTTTAGAACCATTAGTTTATATAAATATTTCAGAAAAATAGGCAAGAGGTAATTAATAAAAATACTGGTTACAAGCTCTTGGAAAACATCGTTTTAATCGAGTCATTAGATACTAATGTACAATTAGGTCCGAATATTATTAGTGCGTTAAAGTACACTACACATATCTGTTGATGTAGAAAGAAGTTTTTCTTCATACAAAATGTTATTGACAGATAGAAGACAAAATTTTACAATGGAAATTTTGAAAAAACATCTGACTATTTGTGTAGTTCTAGCGTATTTATGTTTTATGTAAAAATATGTTATAGGTAATAATTGTAATAATACACATTTTTCGTATTTTTTGTTTATAGTTTATTGTTTTTTTCTTTCCAGATTATCGGAGGTAAATTGCATATGTGCATAAAACCGTTCCTACTTAGTAAAAATTGTGTATATTTCGAAGAAATTGTGTGCATATATGTATATGCGCGTATTTGTGTTATAAATCCGCTCTTTATCAATAGTAGTTCGAAATTCTTAAGTCTGTTTTAGTCTAATACCTAAAACTAAATATAAATTGGCGATGGTTTGCCGTATCATTTGTTTTTGATTTAGTGTATGTTTAATTTTTTGTCATAACAAAACATCATCAATTTGTGTTTAATTAGAATAATTAGGAATACAACAGACTTAAAAATGAAACCATTAATATATAAATCATTCCAGTAGGTTTCTCCCTTAAACGTAATGTTGAAAATAAGGGTAACTTAATGGTACATACACCGCAAAATGAGTATGTCACGCTATATATTTCTAGTACGATATATACTTAAGACAACTCTGAGATGACGTCATAATTTTTTTGAAAAGAAAGAATGAATAGATTTTAATTAACTTTTTTATGTCCATGACAATTTTACTGTACATTGAAAATGTCACTTTTTTGTTTAACAACGAATTCAATAAAAAACAGACTATAAACGACAAAATAAATAAAATTGGAGGTACAAAGATACATTTTTTTTCTTATTTATTTTTAATTAATTTATTAATCTTTTCAAATAAATCTAAAATATTAAAAGGGAACATGTGAACACGGATGCCGTTATCTAAACATTTTAAAATGATGAAACTAAGTGACTAAATGAATTACATATCGAATGCTAGACCATCGACAATTAAAAAAATTGGTCTAAAGAGTTTAGACAGTACTTCCCTCGCTGTCGGAAACTTGACGACTGCATGCCTATTGTGTTTTTTTTCTCATTACATTTTTGTAGTGGGAATTTAAAAAAAAAATGCGATGACGTCATCAACATTTTTGCAAGGACACGTATATCAGTTGGGATAGATGTAGTGTAATACTAAGAATAAAATTATTATATTCTCAAATTTTCGGGAAAATGAATTGGGTCGTTTGAATATTGATTTGTAATAATCAATAAAATAACGAAACAATTTACTCACGTATACCTACGTATCAGAGGCAACTGAAAATCGTGTATATATAAACATTCTTAATTTAAGATGACAGGCGTAACAGCATACGTGAGAGCCAAACAGAGAAACTGTAAACAAAACGACCGTCGGTTTTATTGCTTCGACTTCCGCTTATTATATAAAACATTGGGTTTTATTTTAATTCTTGACGGTGAAATTCACAATTGGTTGATTATAAACATGTCTATTTCACATTCGCGGAATCAAGTGAACGCATAAAACAAATGCAGGTCTGTAATGTTAAAGTCGATGTAAATAAGCGTGCTACCCTTATGTTTCAACCGAGTTTTTCCTTTAACAAATTTTGTGTCTACCAAATTGGGTTGGTTGGGGTGTAATACTAATAATAAGTGTTGCCTTTAATTTAATCAATAAAATAAATTGACTTCATTAATTTTTTTGAACCACCTCTTAAGAAAATCTAAAAAATATGAATGGAATGATAAATCACAAGTACAAACTCATCATATTTTTTGCATTTTAGATAGGATTTATTCAGCAAAATTTAAGGGTGACGTCATCAATTTTTTTAGGAGGGATGAACAAATACATTTTGAACAAAAGTTTACCATGCTTATAATAACTTTAAAATATTCCCAAGATTTCAAAGCATTCGGTTTTGTAATTCCTGATTAAATCGATAAAATAAATTCACGCCTTCATTAATTTTTTTGAGTCACCCTGCATATGCAAATCCAAAAATATGAATGGAATGATAAATCACAAGTACAGACTCATCATATTTTGTACATTTTAGATACGATTTATTCGGCAAACTTTTGAGCTGACGTCATCAGTTTTTTGTAGAAGATAACCAAATATATTTTGACTAAAAATTTATTATGCTCTTTATAACCTTAAAATATCTGCAAGATTTCAAAGCATTCGGTTTTGTAGTTCCTGATTAAATCAATAAAATAAATTTACGCATTCATTAATTTTTTTGAGTCACCCTGTATATGCAAATCGAAAAAATTTGAATGGAATGATAAATCACAAGAAGAGATTCACCATATTTTGTACATTTTAGATATGATTTATTCGGCAAATTTTCGAGCTGACGTCATCAAGTTTTTGGAGGGGATAAGCAAATATATTTTGACTAAACATTTATTATGGCCCTTTATAACCTTAAAACATCTGCAAGATGTCAGAACATTCCGTTTTGTAGTTCCTGATTAAATCAATAAAATATATTTACGCATTCATTAATTTTTTTGAGTCACTCTGTATATGCAAATCCAAAAAATATGAATGGAGTGATAAATGACAAGTACAGGCTCATCATATTTTGTACATTTTAGATATGATTTATTCGGCAAACTTTCGAGCTGACGTCATCAAGTTTTTGGAGGGGATAAGCAAATATATTTTGACTAAACATTTATTATGCTCTTTATGACCTTAAAACATCTGCAAGATTTCAGAGCATTCGGTTTTGTAGTTCCTGATTAAATCAATAAAATATATTTACGCATTCATTAATTTTTTTGAGTCACCTTGTATATGCTAATCCAAAAAATATGAATGGAGTTATAGATCACAAGTACAGGCTCATCATATTTTGTACATTTTAGATATGATTTATTCCACAAACTTTTGAGCTGACGTCATCAAGTTTTTGGAGGGGATAAGCAAATATTTTTTGACTAAAGATTTATGATGCTCTTTATAGCCTTAAAACATCTGCAACATTTCAAAGCATTCTGGTTAGCAGATTAAAAATTAAATTTCAAAATGTTGTTTTATAATTTTGATTTTTTTTTTTCCAAAAATCTGGACGTTTCGGGTGAAAAGTCGATTCAGAGTTGTAAACTACATGTGTAGGACTATGTTATTTTATACAATTGAAAACCCATTTACTATGTACAATTTTGAAGTGACGTCATCGCATTAGTGGTGGGGACGATTAGACAAATTTTGGTTAGCGTTTTACCATCTACATGATATTCTTAATATAAGTACAAAATTTCACAACAATCGGTCGAGTACTTTCGGAGATTATCTGTCTAATAAAAATCCGGGACAACAGACGGACAGACGGACAGACGGACGGACAGACAGACGGAAATGGGAGACCTATTTCTTCGTCTTCTAGGGGTCATGAAAGATCGAGAAAACGTAAAAGTAGAGAGTCGGCCGACGGACTCGATTACAATACTTCCTTTGCTTACGCTCGGGAAGTAAAAATCTATTTAATGTACTTTAAAAACATACTGCACTCTATTTAAAAAGAAAAAGTTCGTTCCTTTCAAAAAATGTCAAATGCAATTTAGTATTATATATATATTCACTTCAAATTGCAAACTTACGTCTCTTCAATAACTGAAAATTTAACACTTTTCCGCTGAATGGGAAACTAGGACACCGGGTATATTATTATATAAATCGTCAAAACTTTACTTTTTTCATTTAAGAGATGCAGTTCTTTAGAAGAAATCATATTGTGTTATCTTTTATTGTATATTCACCAACGTGTAAACATTTTTTTCAGATAAACATGGTCGACGATGGTTTAAGAAGTTTTAAGAATCTTCAAGTGTTGGTAATTTGTGGTAATTGGATAAACGATATATACGGTGTTGTACTTCCTCGAAGCCTGAAATTTCTGGAACTCTACGTAAATGAAATCAACTCGATGGAAAATTTGGCCCCAAAAGCCCCTAAACGTCTGGAGTATCTAGGCTTAGCCAGAAACAGACTAACAAACAGTAAGTTTTTAAATACAAATACTTTAATATTAAAATTAAAAAACTGAAAGCTGCGATTTCTTTCACAGTTGTAAACTCTCAATTTATCGTTACTGAAATTAATGACTCATTAATTAATACATCAAATTCACAATAACTAACACGTTTTCCCCTTTATGTTATGTCATCATAAAAATTATACGATGATGTCGGGTGTCTTATTTTCATGGCGAACAGCGTTTTCGTTTCAAAATACCAATGATATATTCCTCCGTCATTACTCATCATTTCTCAATTAACCAAATTAGCCGCCGCCATCTCTCGTTTGGCCATTACACGGATCCGTAATATCATAGTTCTGTTACTGCTGAGGCATTATCGAGGGTTGGATCGGACCGTAAAAGTTAACCATGCATTAGCCGAGCTTTGTCACTTGCCATAATAGGAAATACGAAAAGTTTTCCCATACTTATTTAATGATTGTTGTATCTACTTGGTCTCTAATTTAGAAAATTTCTTAGCTGTGTTTTTACGTTAATACATCAGTTATAATATCATAATGAAAATGGTAGAAAATTTTTACTTGAGGTATATTTTATCATGCTATGTAGTAGGTAGAACTTTAGTGCTAAAACCAGGATATCTGCAATAATAAAGCTATATTTTTTTAAAAATGTAGTCCTTCGCAGCTCGTCAGTGCAGTCCGTTAATGTTTACCTTTCAATCGAAGATGTTTATTGATTAAAATTAATTTTAAGTCGAAATTTAGGAAAATTACGTTCAAGAATTTGAAATTTATACTAATTGTTAATTTAAGCTCAAGAGCAATAACTGTAAAACACTGTATGGGTGGCAGAAAGTGCGTTCATTCGTGCATTAATATCGTCGGTATAAAAGCCCTTTGCTCATTTATTTTTTATTTTGAAAATATCCACTTTGGTAAATATGACTGTGGTCTATTTCATTTTAACTGTTTTGAGTAATATTCTATATTTTTTAACAAAAATTAATCGTGGTCCACCCTTATTGTAGATTTCTTTACATAAAATTTATGATTCCAAATAAAATGGTTTCCACAGCCGCCATGGGTGTGGTTCTAAATACTTGCGTAATGCTAAAATTAATTCGCTATTTAAGGCTGATTTTACAGATTGACATACTATATGCATAGACGTAACAGTACAATTTTTCGTAATAAAACTCATATATAGTTGCAAAATGGATAATTTTCGCAAAAATATTTGCAAGGTTTAATAACATTATACAGGGTCATTATAAAATACTGTAGTCAACTCACCTATGAAAAACAATTGAAATTTTTCTCGTGCCGCTAATCACCAAAATGATTTCAACTCTTTTGAAATGTCACGAACGTCGAAACAAATCTATCAAATGTGTCAAAAATTGATATGCCAGGTTTGCGGTTTAATTTCATTTTAAATAGACACGAAAATACGCCAGGCCAGAGCATTAAGGGTTGCAGTGTTATCGAGCATTTGTGAACGCCACTGCAATACATTTCAGTTTCAAAAATTGTAAATTGTCAGAAAAACGTTTAAGGGCTTTGTCATGAATTACACCTTGGAAAGTCGATTGGAGTTGAACAGAATAAATCATCTGGTCTGTTTTGCAAAGAAGCAATAATTTTTCAAATAATGAAATCCAAAAAGTGAGGTTAAATTTGCCGAAACCAATGAACACGGTAATTAATTAAAAAATTACATTTTTATAGGTACCCTGAAGGTAAAAATTGTGAAAAATCACGTAATGGACAATGGCAGAGCAAGTCTTATCACAGTTAACGAACACTACCACTGTTTTAAAATGACAATGAGTACCTAATGCACCCCACACATGGGGTAGCTTCGTACAGAGTGTGGGGTACATTCGTACTTAGTGGGGAACCTTCGTACCCTGTGATAAAAATGTCTTTTATATGATAAATTAGCGTTTATTGTTTATTTATTAATCAGTCTTAAATATAAAAATAAAAGTTTCTTCTTTATCTTTATAGGAATTAACTAACATAAGAGATACTATTGCACGTTGTATATAGACAAATCTTTTGCGAAGCTGAAGATTTTAGCCGTTCTTGCTGTTAAAGCAGATTTGGGTTGCGGCAGTATACATACAATATCTGATATGTCAACACTTCCTTCATCTTTAGTATCGGGAAAAATAAATTTCCAGGTACCCGGTTTCTTTCTTAAGAATGAAATGCTATATTCAGTAAGGCTGTATTTTGTTACCACCTGCCCAACATAATGTAAAGCGGTCTTTTTTTTTTCGAACTTTACCAGCACAAAGCATTCTTCTTTTATATCTTCCGATATGACTGGAGTCTCAGTCTCAATATCAGATCCTTCAGATATCTCTTCGATGGGAGAACAAGAACTTTCTCTGAAACTTACGTCAGTCTCATCATCACTATCCGTCTCTATAGTTTTCTTCTGTCTTTTTGATTTAAGTGTTAGATTTGCATCTGATAGCAAATTTAATGCGCGCTTTATCTCCTTAGCTCTTTGTTTTCTCTCTTGCTCTTGTTTTTTCAATTCTTTGGCTTTTTCAATTTCTTCAAGTATATATTTTTCGGGCGTATCTGTGTATATCCGTGATTTTCCTGGCTGTTTTCCTTTCTTCGACCTTGTGATCGTTCTCGTATCTACTTTAGGGTAGGGTCGGATAATTTCTGGCGTTATTAGTCCTACAACTGATGTAGATGGTGAATCAAGCGGCTGTGACAGCAAAGAGGGTGATGTAGGTACTCCTCTCGATGCTAGATCTTGTTGACCAATATCTATATCTTCAGATATGGATTGTGACATATTCACATCTTGGCCTGTGGAAGTATCAGAATGGTAAACCTGCACGGGTGTAAAATCCTCGTCACTAAAAGCCAGTTTGTTAAATGGCCATATTCCAATCTTTTCAAAGCCACTTATAATATTTTTGCAATTGAATGATTCAAAATAAGCTATTTTGGCCAGTTTGGGAATGTTATATATACTTAGCGTTTTACTCGGGTTATTCACATGCCAATCATTAAACGCTGTCTTCAGTTTGGTCTTGAATGGCCCAAATACTGCCACATCCAATGGTTGGAGACGGTGTGTTGTGTGGGGTGGAAATGACAGATAAATAATGCCGTTATCACGGGCATACTCCACTGCTTGAATTGTGACGTGGCTTTCGTGGTTATCGACCAGAAGTAAAATCGGGTTATCTTTAGAGCAGGATGTATTCCTTTTCATATGTTTCAGTACTTCCAAAAATATACTGGAATTTATCCAGCCACTTTTAGTAGCAACTCCCAGGCTACCTTCCGGAGCACCAACCAGAAAATAATCTTTGAAATGAACTCTTGGAAAGATAAACAGCGGCGGAATTGTGTTACCACTTGCTGCAATAATTCCTCCAAATGTGACAAGTTCACCTCTTTCCGCCGAAACAAGTTGGCCAATTTGCTTTTGCCTTTTCTCAGCCAATACCTTTGGCACAGTCATCACAGTAGATATCCCTGATTGACCTGATTCATCGAAATTATAAATGCGATCTGCAGTAAATTCATATTTTACTAAAACTTTTTCTAAGTTCTTGAAGAAGTCATCTACGGCAGTTTTGTTAAAGCCATACGATCTTGCTGCACTGGTGTTTTCTGGTTTTCTCAAGCTTAAATTTTTGTTCCACCTGCGAAAACTGTCCAGCCAATCTTTGCCTGCCATTCTATTACGATTCCAGCTAGGTGGATAATGCAGTTGATTAGCTTTTGCAAATTCGTATGCCAGTTTTCTCACTTGTGCAATCGTCAGGCCATAGTGCATTTTGGAGCAGTCCGTGATGTACTTGTTCAAGAGAGTCTCTTCTTCTGTAGTGAACACTTGATTCGACGCAAACTTAGAACTAAAAATACGCGCTGGCATGCTATCTTCTTTTTGGAGAGTAACTTTTTTATGGAACTTCGATAAACGAGTTGCCAGGGTTGTCGGTTTCACACCATATTTTTGAGCGGATTTCCTAATAGATAAAGTTTTATCTAAAACTTCCTTCATCGCTGACTTCATTGTATCTTCATCTACCTCGCCCGTTCTAATCCGCTTTTTTTTATATATTCGTGGCATTATTCTGTAATAATAATATTCTCCTTGTACAAACTTTTCAAATGCATCAGGGGTACATTCGTACAGTACGAATCTACCCCACTGGTAACAGTACGAATGCACCCCAAACCAAATAATCAACAAATTAATTTAAAATAAAAATTACCTTTAAGCATATCCCAACATGAATGTTTATATAATAAGCTAAGACATCTGTCCATAAACCAGTGTAAATTACGTTTAAAATTAGAGGAAAACTGTAAGATATATACGCAGTCAAAGTTGAAAGCAAAAAAGTGTATCACATTGTCGGTATCTAATCGTTTTGCTTCTGGTCAAAACAACATTTTGTAATTTAACGAACGGCACCGTGGTAAGAAATTTGAAGCATGTTTAGTAGGTTCTCTATCTACTACTCTATGTTAAACAGTGTTTTTACAACGTCCTCACATTTCCATCATGAATATTTGCTCTGATATGTAGAATAATCTCAGTAGAAATATATAGATTCATGTACCTCTATATTAAATAAAACTTACAAGTTAAAATTTGTTACTTCTTTTAATTAAAATAACAATGAAAAAAAAATACAAAAACAAGCATGGTCATCGAATTTCTGTAACTCGAAATAATTAAGAAATGTTCCACAAACAATTAATTAAATTGCCGAAGAATACATGAGGTTGGATAGAACATGTTTATGTAAAGGTGGAGCGTTAGCAGCAAAATCAACATTCCTACTTTTGTTATTTGGGTTAACTATTGAATTTTGGAACTGCGTTTTTGTACTTTTGATTTTAATTTGTTTTGCAATTTTAGATAATGTGTCTCCGTGTGTGGAATTCCCAGTAAAATGATAACATACGATTTGCTTCCATCGTAAGCTTACTAGTGATGGGAAAAACTGCTACTTCTCTGGAACGG